ACGCGTCCCCCGAGGAGGCTCGGCGAGGGTCCCAGCCCGGTGTGTGGAGGGCCAGGCCCGAGCCAGCTTTATAGGCAGCCCTGAGGGGCGCCTGGGTGGCGCAGTCGGTTAAGCGTCCGACTTCAGCCAGGTCACAATCTCGCGGTCCGTGAGTTCGAGCCCCGCGTCAGGCTCTGGGCTGATGGCTCAGAGCCTGGAGCCTGTTTCCGATTCTGTGTCTCCCTCTCTCTCTGCTCCTCCCCCGTTCATGCTCTGTCTCTCTCTGTCCCAAAAATAAATAAACGTTGAAAAAAAAAAAATTTATAGGCAGCCCTGAGCTGGGCCCGGGCGGAGGGGGGAGGTCACACCCCCCGGACCTCCTGGGAGCTCAGCAGCCAGACGATCCTTGGGCCTCGAGGAGGGGGCCGTCTGGAAAGGGCACAGAGGCCCGTCTGGACTGTGGACAGCTGGCTGTTGCTATCTGCACGGTGGCCGGGAGCCCCTGCCTTGCTTCACGCCGCCTGCCCTGTTAACCTCACAGATGTGTCTCCCGGAGAAGAAGCAGGCGTCTCCTCTGTGCCACGTTCCCAGTCTCCCCGGTCACAGAACCGACCGGAGTGTGGCCCTGGCGTCCAGTTGCTGGTTGCAGGTAGAGTGCCTGCCCGCCACCAGGGCTCTTGGATTAAGGACCAGTTCTGGTGCAGGGATGAGCCTCCGGCCTGGTGCTCGCAGGGCGGTGGGGGCTGCTGAGATCCTGGGCTGTCCCCGGTGGGAAACCCCTGCTCCGGGGACCCTTCCCAGGCCAGGGAACCTGTGATAATTTAGCACCGATGGGTGGGTGTCCAATAAGGACCTTCCCTCCCCCTCTTCTTGGCTGTTCATGGATTCAGACATTAGAGGGGGGAAACCAATCCATGGCCCCTTCGGACTTCTGAGCCAGAAACCGAGGGGGGACATACTCAGACTCACTAATTAGTTGCCGTTTATCTGAAATCCGGACTTCAGTGGGAGTCCTATACTTTGATTTGCTAAATCTGGCAGCCAGAAAGCCAGTGTGGATTGGGACGTTTGTTACAATGGGCCGTGGCAGCCCCATCCGTGGTGATGCGGAGGCGGGAGTCTGGCTTCCACCTGCACAGGGTCCCTTGGGCCAGAGATGCTCAACAGCCCTGGGGCCAGATCCTGTGTCCTGAGGGAGGAGAGGGGGGTGAGGGAATGAGGGATCAGTGCCACTGCCTGAGGGCCTGTTTGGACCCAGCCAACGGCACCGTGGGGGACACCGGACCGGCCTGAGGTGTGGGCAGCGAACCTGGCACCCAGCTCGTCCCGGAGAGATGGGTGATGGGGGCCGGGCTGGGCAGGCGGTGGGAGCCACCACCTCCCTCTGCCCCTTCGGGCCAGGATTTGACCCCAGCCAGAGTCCAGGCTGCCACGTGAGGGCCACGGGAAAACGTGGGCTCGGAGGTCACCTTCGGCCTCCATGCTGGGGGACGAGCCTGACCGGACCTGGGCTCAGAAGCAGAGGGGACTCGGGGCAGTGAAGGCTGGAGCCCAGGATCAGCTTCATGTCAGCATCACCCTGTCCCCTCCTGTTCAGGGCCGGCACCGCTGTGGGTGCCCCAGAGATGGCCCGAGGCCCGGCCCCAGGTGCCCTGGGCTGTCCCAACCCTGCCACCCTCAGCCTCCCAGACCCCGGGCCTGGGGCCCACGTGGCCCCGTGGGGCCCTCCCAGGACGGCCGGGGTCCACGGGGCCGCCCTTGCCCGGGGCTCCCTCCGCAGGAATGGGGACCCACGTTTCAGTTCGTCCAGCCCCTTCCCGGCAGGAGTGAGTCCTGGGCTCTCCTCACTGTGCCACCCACGAGCTGTGTGGCCTCTTGAGTCACTGAACCTCCCTCCTGACAGCTATCTGCTAGTCAGCTGGGTGAGGCCAGTAGAGCCTTTCTGGAAGGACGCCTTTGCATTCAGACAAGGAGAGCTGATGTGGATCCGGGCTCCTAAGCCCCTCCCCGTGAGCTCACAGGATACACATTGTTAATGCCCCCATCTGACAGATAAGGAGAGCACACACAGGCAGGTGATGAACTTGTCCAAGGTCAGGGGCCAGGCCGGGCACCCCTCAGTGCTCTCATTAACAGCCTTCGACCTTGGGCAAGGGCCTCAACTGCTCTGAGCCTCTGTGAAATGTCCACATTGTTTTCCACCCAGGGTGGGGGGAGGGCGAAGAAGAACCGTGAGGTCCCCAAAGGGAAGGGAGGCACCAGGCTGTGCCGGGGTGAGAGTGCCCACTGTGCATCCCCCAAAATGGGCAGTGGGGCACCCTTCGGCTCCTAAACACAGCTTTGCAGGGAGTGCCTCCCGTCCCCTGGGCCCCCACGCTGTACTTGGGCTTCCTTTCCTGTCAGCTGCCTCTCTGTGCCCACAGGTGTCCCCAGGACACGGGAAGGAGCCAAGTCCTCAATAAATATTTGCTTAATTAACTGAAGAGAAAGGGAGGGAGGAAGCGGGGGTTATGGAGATGCATGGCTTCCAGAAGATCCTTCTTCAGGGCAAGATTTGGGGAAAGAGACTGGCTTCTGTGGGCATTTTTGTTTTTGAACGTTTTTTACTGGGTAGTCAAAAAAGAGAGTATTATTGCTGACAACTCTCCCCAAGAGAGAAAGAACGAGAGAAGGAAGGAAGGAAACAAGGAAAGGAAGGAAGGAAGGAAGGAAGGAGGGAGGGAGGCAGGGAGGGAGGGAGGGAGGGAGGGAGGGAGCCATCTGCGCTGGCTTACCACCTAACAGTGATTGTTCTGTTTGGAGTTTCTGAGCGCTGGGCCTCTGGGTCATTAGAAGGGAGAGGGAGGGCGGCATCTGGACTGAGGAGGGGTGGATGGGGAGGAGGGCGGGCCAGAGCGCTGAGGACAGAGACCAGCAGGCGGCAGGCGACAGCTGCCAAGGGGAGCACAGGCTGGAGATGGGCCGGAACCGATGCTCGTCCTCCAGACGAACATCTGGGTGTTTTCTCCACCCGGGCCGTGGTTCACCGACGGAGAGGGAGCCCATCCACCAGCCGGGATCGCTGCCTGTCCCGGGGCTCCTTCGCTGGTGACCGTACTGTCCTACCTGTGTCACCGATCCCAGGTCCTACCAGAGCTTCCGTGCTTTTGTGCTGGGCGGAGTGAGACCAGCGACACAGAGAGCAAAAGACAGATACATCGTGGAAGTTGCGGGGAAGAGGGCCCCGCAGACCAGGCGGGGATCCAGCTCCAAGCCCTCTGGGGCCCAGCCGCCCTGCCCCCTCCAGCGGCTCCCCCTGCCCCAGCGCCAGAGGAATATGCAGGGGTGGGGAGGGAGGTCCCCGTGCAACCACGCACGCGCCCACCATGCATCGCTGCGCAGAGGCTGGTGTGGGTCCCCATGCGGCCCTCCGGGGAGGCACAGAGGACAAGCACCCCGGGGGGGGGTCCTCCCCACACACCAGCAGTCCCAGTCCAGAGCACCGGGAGCCCTGCAGGCCCCGTGTCACCCGCCAGAGGTCAGCCGCCGGCCGCATTGGTGGCGTGGGAGCCCCGAGCCTGCCTGGGTCACACGGGCAGGAGGACGGTGTGGGTGGGACAGCTCAGGGACAGGAAAGCCAGCCTCCCTGGGACTCTGGTGGGCTCTGAATATGGGGACATGGGGGGCCCCACATTGACCTGATGGCCCCCACCTCCAGTCCGGTCCCTCCTCCCCCCCATCCCCTCAGGTACTTCCAGCCTCAGACAACTAAGTGACACTGTCCCAAACTGTCCCCAGGGAGAGAAAAGGGCCAAAGGGGGCTCCGCAGCTGCGGGAGGCCTCCTTCCTCCAGCCACCGCTCTCGGGCACGACCGGGGCCACCCCACCCCTGTCCCCAGACGTGCCCCCCAGATCGCGGTGCCCCCTCCGAGACAGCTTCTGGCCCGAGGAAGCCTCCAGACTCGGGGGGCCACCCCACCCCATAGTTGTGGGGCTCTGCCTCTCTCATCTCATCTGGCTGAGCGACCCAGGCGCCCCGAACTTAACTTTCTTAAAGTAAAACATTGTAAACATTAGCACTGTGAAAGACTCCTCCTGTTTATTAAGCACCTACTGTACGTATATGGCGGGCACTCTGGTGACATGTCGATTAACCCCAAGACGTTCCTTGCCAAAAAAAGTACATAATTCCTAGTTTACAGGTGAAGACATATTGAAGAGGGTAGAAAACTCGCCGGACGACATGCAGCTCGTGGGTGGCACAGTGAGGAGAGCCCAGGACTCACTCCTGCCATGAAGGGGCTGGACGAACTGAAACGTGGGTCCCCATTCCTGCGGAGGGAGCCCCGGGCAAGGGCGGGCCCGTGGACCCCGGCCATCCTGGAAGGACCCCAAGGGGCCACGTGGGCCCCAGGCCCGGGGTCTGGGAGGCTGAGGGTGGCAGGGTTGGGACAGCCCAGGGCACCTGGGGCCGGGCCTCGGGCCATCTCTGGGGCACCCACAGCGGTGCCGGCCCTGAACAGGAGGGGACAGGGTGATGCCGACGTGAAGCTGCTCCTGGGCTCCAGCCTTCACCGCGCCGAGTCCCCAAATGTCCTCAACTGCAGGCCCTCGGTCAGAGCTGTCGAGGGTCTCCTCGTTCTCCCCACCCCAATGCCCCCTCCTCCCCTCGGGGACAGCAGGTCTGGCTTTGAGATGACTTCCCCGCCCAGCAGACCCCACAGAAGGCCCGGCTCTGCCCAGACCCACAGCCTGGGGGGCAGAGCCCCTCTCCGCGTATGACAAACATGGGGGCCGACCCCCCCCCCCCGGGCCAAATGCCCCTGTCCACAGTGGCTTTCTTCTGTTTGATTGCCCCGTTGTTTTACGTCCCCAGCAAAACTCTTGAACCCAAGTGGAATCCACATCCGGGAGAAGGGCTGTGTTTGCAGAGGGCTAACAGGTCTGGGAGGGTGGCCCTCTGTCTGTCTCCACTGGTCCCCGCGCTGGGTCCACACTCAGCCTGCTGTATTGAAGGCAACTCACCCCCCACACTGAGGGGTGACCGTCTGGGACCAACCATCCATCCCTCGTCCTGGAGGCTGTGAGTGCTGCCTCCCTGCCTTCCCCGCCCCCACAGTCCACAGGAATCCCAGACAAACTTTAATCAGAGGTACTCTATTAATTAAAACCCTCCCGAATTAACTCAAAACGGATCACAGATCTAAGTCCAAAATGCAAAGCCGCAGAGGTGCCTGGCTGGCTCCATCAGTAGAGCAAGTGATTCTTGATCTGGGGAGTCGTGAGTAAGAGCCCCACGTCGGGGGTAGAGTTTACTTTTAAAAATATATGCGGGCGCCTGGGAGGTCCAAGCATCCGACTCTTGATTTCGGCTCGGGTCATGATCTCACAGTTCATGAGTTCGAGCCCCCCATCGGGCTGTGTGCTGACAGCTCAGAGCCTGGAGCCCGTTTCGGATTCTGTGTTTCCTTCTCTCTCTCTGACCCTCCCCCATTCATGCTCTGTCTCTCTCTGTCTCAAAAATAAATAGACGTTAAAAAAAAATAATAAAAAAAAAATCAAGTCGATTAAAACACAACAACCACCAAGCAAAAACCCTCCAATGACTTCCTGCTGTACTTTTGGATGGAACTCAACTATCTTAAAGCCCAGGCTGACCTGGGCCAGGCTCACTCCCTGCCTCCGAGCCCGCGGTTCCTCACTTGCTCCCCAACAGCCGGTCACGTGGGCCTTCTTACCGTCCGCACACCTGCCATGCCGGTCCTACCCCAGGGCCTTCGCACTAGCCGTCCCCTCTGCCTGCAAGGTGCTGCGCCCTGACCTTGGCAGGGTTAGCTAATTCCTATCATCCAGAACTCAGATCAGACGTCACGTCCTCAGAAAGCCCTCTCTTGCCCATGCATAAAATCTGTGCGTCCCTTCCTGCCCCCACCCATCAAGGTCTCTCTTATCCAGCTTTGTTTTCTTCCTGCTGCTTGGTGCTATCTGAAATCACCTTCTTTATCTGTTTGTTTAACTGCTTGTGGACCGACTCCCCATTAGAATGTAGACACCATGGCTCGGTGACTTTGTCCGGCCCATTCACGGCTGTGTCCCTGCGGGAGAATGGCCGCCAGCCCCCTGTGCTGGATAGTCGATCAATATTTGTTGATTGCATAAACGAAGTAATGAATGGCAAGATGGAGTCTTAACTCTGTGCGAACTTGGTGAACGTCTCAGGATCTCTGTCTCTTCACAAACTCGATTTTCCATCCAGCTCCAAAGCACTAGGAGAGAGCGAAGGATGGGGGGCTTCTCCCTGGACAAACCCTCGTCCGCCTGAGAGGCTGCAGGTTCCCACCAAGGATGGCCTCCCGGGGACCGGGAAGGGTCGTCAGCTCCCCAGCTGTGGCCCACCTGCCCCGGAGCCCCTGGAGCACCAGGCTCATGCGGGCAGGGCCGTTCCTCGTGCAGCGAGCCCTGCTGTGGACCGGGAAGTCTCTGCACCCGCCTGGGGCCCCAGGTCCGCACAGGGGCCCAGTTGGTTCTGTGCTGCGGGGCTGACCCTGAGCCTTACTGAGGAGGTGAGCCCGACTTCATTTCCTTCTCCGGAAAATAGCTCTGAGGTGTGCGGTCTCCCCAGGCCCAGGAGAGGCTCTGCCCCCACCCTCCGGGAGCCCACAGGGGCCCTCCTCCCCCCCCCCCCCGCCACGTCTCCAACCCCAGGCCCCCGGAGCCCCACACGCCCCCCATGCTCTGTGCAGTGGGCCCACGGGGCTTTCTTGCGGGAGAACAAAACTCCAGTTAGAAAGCCTCAGCCCTAAAGTCAAAACTGCAGTAACACGGAAAGTGAGGGAGGGCCGGTCCCCAGGGCTCCGTGTTCCCCGTGCGGGGCTCCAGTGTCCTGCCCTGAGCCCTGGAAGGGAAGGAGGCTGCGGGGGAGGTGGGAGGCCGGGGGAGCAGTCTCGGCACCTGCGGGCCGGCGTGACCACAGCCCCCCGGGGTGGCTGAGGGAGCCTGCGCGGGGGCACGGGCAGGACCAGTGAGCTGCGTGACCTTGGGCAGCCCGGGGCCCTCTCGGGACAAGAGGGATTCGAACCGCGCGTGCTCACGTCCCTCCAGCGACGCCGGTTCGAGACCACGGCCGTCTTCCCTGGTCGGGGATCATCCAAGACGTGTCTCTGTTTCATTTTGAGTCCATTTTTACAGCGAGAAGCATCCGCTCTGTGTGAGCAGCAGTTGAGTGAAACAGAAGCATCCGCTGGGGTGCGTGCATGTGCGTGTGTGTGCGCGTGTGCGTGATGGTGCAATCCCTTCCCTGCAGCACTGGGGACCGAGGGGACATGAGCAGGCTAGCGGTGGTCCCAGGAGATGTTCTGGTGTCTCCGGAGCAGGGACAGCTGTAGGGAGACTCCAGACACGGGGAGCCTGGGGACAGCAAAGAAACAGAACGGGAGACACCACAGCCCCGACCGGCGGCGGCCGGAGGTGACCCCCATGACCGCACTGGTGGGACAGATGACTGACTCTGCAAGGTGGAGGCAGCCGCTCCAGCCACGACCTTCACCTGCCGCGCGCCTCCCCACTCCCCTGGGTTCTGGTTCCGGAGCCCAGCCCCCTCCACCCGGATCACTTGTGGCCTCTGTCGCTGGCCAGGCCTCTCCTCCGCCTCGTCCTGCGA